CTGGGCGTGGTAGCACGTGCCTGTAGTTCCAGCTACTTGGAAGGCTGAAGCGGAGGGATCGCCGGCACCCAAACAGGTCGAGGCTGCGGTGGCCGGGAGCGGCCACTGCACTCCAGTCTGGGCGATAGAGTGAGACTCCAACTCAAAAAAAAAAAGCAAGCAGGCCTATACTCGGGCCTATATTTCATTGTTGCTCCAAGTCATGAGACTTTTTTCTTTTCTGTCCAAGTGCAGTTAACATTAAATACTGATGTGCAGAAAACAGAGAAAAGTGCTTCTCCAGAGTTGACAATCTGTGATTCAGGAATAGCTTAGAGTTTTTATTTTTAATGTGCCGCTTTAAACTAAAAGAACACCTCTCTCTCAATTCAGGATGTTGAATTATAGTGTCACATTCATGCCAGGGCAATCTCAAATATGTGGATCTGCTTTCTAAAGATTAGTTGCCGGTTTGAGGTGAGCAGAGACTTTCTCATCTCCTCCAGCAGAATTGTTTAGTCTTGAAGATTTGCCTTGTTGGCTTTAAAAAAAAATGCAGTGGAATTTTTTTTCTTCCATTTGGCTTGAGGTGTCTTGAACATGTTGCCCAAATACCAGCCTTTAGCTAGAATGGGCTCTAGAAGAAAGACTATTTTGTTTTTCTGAGATAGCTCCTAACTTGATTTAAACAATAATAACAAAATAAAATATACAATACATATATGCCAGTCATGTGGCTCAAACTTGGAGGCTCAGGCTCAGTGGCTCAGCCCATAATCCCAACATTTTTGGAGGCCGAAGTAAGTAGATTGTCTGAGCCCGCAGGTTCGAGACCAGCCCAGGCTACTCGGTGAGACCTTGTCTCTACAATAAATCAAAAATTAGCCGGGTGTGGTAGTGCGTGCCTGTAGTTCCGGCTACTTGGAAGACTGAGGCGGAAGGATCACCGGAGCCCAGCCGGTCAACACTGTCGTGGCCATGAGCATGCCATTGCACTCTAGCCTAGGTGACAGAGTGAGACTCTGACTAAAAAAAAAAAAAAAAAAAAAAAAAAAGATTCTGGAGTTCCTTTCTAACTTTAACAGAATGTAGAAAACATAATAATAATAGCTTACTTGCTTTATTTATTTATGAATGAATGAATAAATAAATAAATAAATAAGAGACAGGGTCTCACTCTGTTGCCCTGGAGTGCAGTGTTGCAGTCATAGCTCACTACAACCTCAAACTCCTAGGCTCAGGCAGTCCTCCTACCTCAGTCTCCCTTGTAGCTGAGACTAGGCACCAGCAGACCTGGCTAATTTTTTAAATATATTTTTAGAGACAGAGTTTCACTGTGCTGCTCAAGTGAGTCTCGAGCTCCTGGGCTCAAATGATCCTCCTGCCTTGGACTCCTGAGTAACTGAGATTACAAAGCACAAGACACCTTGTATGGCATTAGCAGCTTTATTGACATATAATTTACATACCATAGCCCCATAGCCCCTTTAGCCAGACTTCAGTGGTTTTGTGTTCATATAGTGATTTTCAGAACACTTTCACCATGCCAAAAAGAAATTCTGTACCAGTTAGCAGTCACTCTCTGCTTCCTTCTCCCCCAGCCCCGGCACCATTAATCTATTCTCTGTCTCTTGAATTTGCCTGTTATGGATATTTCATATCAACAGAATTGTACACTATGTGACTTTTTATGTCTGGCCTTTTTATTTTTAATGGAGTTTTATGCATTTTATTGAGATAAAATGAGATATTTGTAACTTAAATCTCCTCTGTATATATTCATATATCCCAGTTAACCTGAAGTAAATGCTTGCTAGGAAATGTTTTTCAGTGGCTTCTTTTTAAAATCTTCAGTTATCATCTCTCTTGTACATTAGAATTATATCTAAAGAGATTATCAGCAAGATTCTCTTCTTTTGCATGTTGACTTTTACCTCCATTTCCTGCCTTAACTACTCTTCTATTTCTATATTCTTTTGAGCATGATGAACTATTAGATCTGATCCTTCAATGATGTGGGGAAGTTTTCCTACTCCAGGATATGTGACCTTTTAGAATTTCTTGAAATTCTTTAGTTGATCATAATTATTTACACCAGATCAATTTCTGGAAG